GGAGGATTTTGCTCTCCCCAGCTTTTAACCCAGAACCTTTCACTAGACCTGGAGGCAAAAACACACAGGGTACAGTTTGGCCTCTTCACCATCCACTCCTCATTACATCAGGAAAGGTCCTTTCTCTCTCGCACCCCCTTTGTGCCAAAGAAGGACATTTCCCCCATGTGGCCACGTTCACCTCCACAGCTGCCACGGAGCGCCTCAGAAACCCTCTGCACTCCTACAAACTTTTGACTTGGCCAAACATTAGCAAGAGATGCTTCATCCTCCCCCGGGGAGCCCCATTTGCCATGCAAAACTGCCTTAACGTGACGGGGGAAGCAGCCAAATCACCGCGCAGCTGGCGTAGGAAAGGCTGAGACCGGGGTACCGGGGGAATACAGGCTCTTGGCAGATGGAGAAGTTTGCTCTTAATCCCGAGCCGCCCTGGGCCAACTTTGCTGTGGTTTCCCGGGCTGTCAGAGGCCTTTTTATTTGCCATGTGAACCAACCTTGCGGTCTTTAGACAACAACACATAATTTATCTCCTGGAGGGTTTCCCCGGAGAGCGATAAGAGGAGAGGCTCCACAGTGGAATCCGCTGGCAACCACGCAGACTGCGTTCACCTGTTATTCTTCTCAAGCGAGCTGGCTCCAGACCATCGAAAAGCCAGACAGGCCTCCCAGGGGCAGCCTGAGAAACGTGGGGGTAGGTGCGTTCCTCTCCCACTCGCCTGCCGGCTCCGTGAACAAATCCTTCCTACCTACGTGCCCAAGAAGAAGCAGCCTCGGGGAAACTAAGACCTCTCTCCTGGAGGCCAGGGCTGGGGCCAAGACAGTCCATGTTCTGCAGTGGTTGTTAAAGCACTAGGGGAAGGGGGTGCCTCACCTCTGAGTATCCGTCTTGCACCCTGGATCCCATAGCTATGGAAAGCCAAGGCCGGGATGTCTTTTGTTCAGTTCTGCCCCATCTCTTTGCCCTATACGATTCCTTGATGAACAGTATTGAATGCAATGAACCGCAGCCTGACAGGCAGGTTCTTTGCAAGCCAGCCATTGCTATCTGAAGTCAAAACCCATGCAGGGTGGCCGGTCCCCTCAGTTGCCTTGTGATCTTTTCTGACCGGACAGCTGGAGTTTTTTGACTACGAGTCTTCCCCTTGGAGTAAGGAGCACACAGAAACCCCGCCGTGAAAATGTCAAGTGGCTACCGCCTGAGTGGAAGGCACCAGGTTGGCAGCCCTGGTCATGTCCCCAGGGCAGGTACCACCCACCCTGCCAGTGCTCCTCAACCCAGACCTGCTGGGAGACAACGGGACATTCAGCCTCCAGGACACTTCTGGCTTCCATTGTCCTGCTGCATTGGCCAGCAAGGAACCCAGTCTCTGCCAGGTCTTTGAGATCCCTCCTCCACTATTGCTCCACGGCCAGTGCAAAGGGACCAGCATCCTCAGGAAAGGGGCCAAGGACTGAACAGACTGTGGATACTCTCCTTGGGCCCTCCCTGCAATGCATTACCAGGATGGTGCATGGGGGCGGCACTTGCACGGTTGCCCTTGGCCTACCGCTCTGGGGTGTGAATAGGAAATATGTTGTTAAATTGGCCACATTGATGCATATTTTTTAACGGGAAGGTGCCTTGCAATCACTGCTGGGTGTGGAGGGGGCCTGACTCACTAAAACTTTAACCTCTTCTTCCTGCTCCTTGCCCTGGTCCTTCTTTCCCTGCTTGCACTCCCTCTTAGGCTTGGGACCCAGCGGGGGGGAATTGTGCTCAGAGGCTAAGCTTTGCGGCTGTCTTATTTCCCTCGGACAGGCTCGACGCGCAGCTCTGCTCTGCATCCCAACACCTTCAGGCTCAGGGATGTTTGATCCGAACTTTCAGCTTGAATCTCTCTCCCTGGTAAAATCCCAGAGTCCAAGTCTCCGGCAGACAGGGTTGCAGGCTGAGATCAAGAGCACCATCTCCTGGCCAGCCCCAGCACGACGTGCGGCTTTGTACTGTGGCGATGTCCCGCAGTCCTTGACAATTCCTCACATTTAGATTTCCAGCTGGAGCTCGGGGCTGATGGGCTGGCATGGCATGGGAGCAGCTGGGGGAGAGGAGGAAGAGAGATGGCAAAGGGAGAGGGAAAGAAACAGAAAAGGAGCTAGGGAGATGGCAAAGGCACCGCCAAACCAAGAGGCCTCCACTTGGCTAGGAAACCCACTCCGGTGTTTGCATTTTAACCCCTTATTTTTTTTTCTTGAGGCATTTCATGCTTTTCTGTGTATACCACTTCAGTGGTTCCTTCCTGTCCCTCAAACCAGCTCTCCTCTTCTTCACATTTTCCTTTCCAGCCAGCCTGCGCCTCCCCTTCTCACTTCTGCAGCAACCTGTGCTGTGCATCCACCCCCCCACTGCTTTCCATCCTTCTCACCTTCTCCCAGGTTGCTCTCCATCATTTCCCCTTTGCTACTCTCCTTTGCTCTGCTGACCCCACCATTTCTCCAGTACGGACCCTCAGGCACCAAACTGATGGAGGGGACTCTCCATGCCCCTTCTTTCGTTCCTCCCTTTATCAAGAGTGATTGGCCTGGGAAGCCTGCCAATGCCACCCCCTCCGGTAGCTTGAGAGCCCTCACCAGCCTACTGCATCCTCCTTTCCTGTGCCCGCTCCCTCTGTGCCCAGCCTCTCCCTCGGGTGGGATTAAACAGTGGGTCTTGGTGCCCTCCAAGTCTTGTGTGCAGCCAAGGAAATGTGAGAGGGGAGAAGTTCTCAGTGCAAACACTTTAGAGATTGACACTGCTTTGATGAATTAGCCAAAGCTCCTAGGTCAAGGTTGGAAGCGGCTTGTCCCAAAGCACAAGACCCGTCGAGGTGCAGAGGAGGTGACCCATGGACCTGTGCATGTGCAGATCCATCTGTCCCTTAACTGCTGGGGGAAACCATGAAGTGGCAGCTCCCGAGGGTCCTGTTTGCATCTAAAATGAGCTCAAGTGACCAAAGCTCACATCCTGCTCTAAGTCGTTCCAAAGTTTGGATCGGTCCAGATCTGGAGGAGCTACAGGGCTCAGACTGTTATCCAGGGGCCTGGTTTGGGCTCCTTGCTACAGAAAAGCTTGCATCCCAGAGAGGAGGTGCTGTTGTAGGCAACTCATTGACATTCCCTTTAAAACACAGGCTGACCTCAGTGCCTAGGGCAGCGGCTCCCAATCTGTGGCACGGGTACCGGTACGCAGACAACCAGTCAGCGGTACGCGTTCAGATTTATTATAATTACTTTATATGCCAAAAATCTGCTGGTGGTACTTAAAGCTGAGCTGAAAACTTTTCTTAAGGTCGTATCATTTTAAATTGGTGGTGCGTAATCTGTCAGAGTTTGGGAACGGCTGGCGTAGGGTGTCTTACCTGTGACTCTTCGAAGGGAAGGTAGAGGCGGTGACACTCAGCTGTAGCAGGAAACTATTGTGAAACATAGAAAGCATCTCCTGCCAGGACAGGATGCAGCCGTCTAAAGAGATCAATTTGATAGTGGTCTGATCCTGTTCTGTGTCTGATCTCGGACAGCAGCTCCAAATGAAGACATGCACCAGCCTCACTGAGTCTGTGTGTTCAAATGACCGGTCATCACAAATTGACCCCATAGCCACCAACTCCGTGAAAGTCCCCCACCCCACCCCCTTCCTTGTCAGACCACTTCTATTACTGCTCTGCTGGCACAATTCAAGGGTGAAAATAATCTGTGTGTAAAGTTCCCGTATGCGGCAAATAGCCTGCTTCCAGCTACTGCGGGGACATTGCTGTTGCTGTGGTCACTGGAAGAAGGTTGATCTCAGCCAAGGGCTTTCCTGCGGGTAAGAGATTCCCTTCTTCTTCCTGGGGGTGGGAAACCAGATCCCCCTCCTGAGAAGCAGGTGCTGAAAGAAGGGAATTTTTTACCTGCCTTGCAGGCTGCTTAATAGCAAAAGGAGACCGTGCCGGATGAGAGCTAGATGCCCAAAACTGCATGCAATGCCTACAGCTCAGGTGGACGCAGTCTCTCCTCTTTCTGGATGTCCTACAGCAGCAGGCTACAGATCAGTGAACAGAGTCACCCTTGCCAGCATGCCCCAAATTTTGCCTTAAATGCAGCAGTTAGACTAAGACAGAGGCTCCTGCAGAATTCATGCACAACCATGTAAAGGCAAAACCAAAGGCCAGGGGTGGCAGCAGATCTGGTCTGCACAGGGTAGGAAAAGGAATAGGAGCGTGCCCCTGGCAAGGCATGGATAAGCCACACAGCCTCCCTGCTCTATTCAGCAAGGGGACGTTTGAATGCAGAAGTAGGAGCAAGCCACATCTTCTCTGGAGACTGCTGCTGCCACCATGAGAGAAGGTACCTGATTCTTTCCCAGCAGATAATTCTGGAGACCAAGCTGCCGTGGAAATTGCGCTTGAATTGATCTCCACCATCTCCAAGGGTCAGCAGTGCAAAGAGTGCTGCCTTCGGTAGACTCGGGTTATCGGAGCACACTCCACGCGTGCTGTGCACGCTGCAGGATTGAGACACCGAACCCCGCTTGCCTGGGTTGTACAATGGGATTGTTCAGACCCCAGCTGGCTGGTTCTCCTCTTTGTGAAACAAGGAAACCTGTCATATCAACCCAGTTTACCTGTTAGAACAATCATAGAAATTATGGAAAGTTAGGGTTGGAAAGGACCTCAGGAGCTCATCCAGTCCAACGACCTGTTCAAAGCAGGACCATTCCCAACTACATCCTCCCAGCCAGGCCTCAAAAACCTCCAAGGATGGAGATGCCGCCACCTCTCTAAGTAACCTGTTCCAGTGCTTCACCGCCCTCCTAGTGAGAGAGTTTTTCCTAATATCCAACCTCAACCTCCCTTGCTGCAACGTGAGCCCATTGCTTCTTGTCCTGTCATCTGCCCCCACTGAAAACAGTCCAGCTCCATCCTGTTTGGATCCACCCTGCAGGTATTTGAAGGCTGCTATCAAATCTCCTCTGTCTTCTCTTCACCAGACTAAATAAGCCCAGGTCCCTCAGCCTCTCCTCACAAGCCATGTGCCCCAGCCCCCAAACCATTTTGGTTGCCCTCCACTGGACTCTCTCCACCTTGTCCACATCCCTTCTATACCCCTTGATTTTGCAGCTTGATTCTGCTGATTTACCTACAGTTTTAGTTAGATAATGGGGTTTGCCTGCTTTGTTCTTGGGCACTCAGACACCGTGCCAGCTTCTCAGGGACTTTTCTGCCCTTTGCACTTCCGTAGTGTGGACTGATTTCATAGCTGCTTAATATCTGTGCATCTAAATAACCACGGTGTTGACACTTGAATTGCTAATCTGCTTCCCTGGCTGTATCTGCTCATGACAGTATTGCTAGATCCCTCCCTTTTACTGCAGGTCCCTCAATACCTGGCATTTTCCTTGCAGCACCAACTTCTGGAGTCGTGTGAATAGGTGAGAATCTCACTTTGAAGGGGAGAGCATTTCTGGCCGTCATGATTGCAGTGACAAGCTGATCAATGTGACCCTAATGAACTGTTCAAAACCCCAGAGAGCAAATGAGATGAACCCATTAAAATATGATTTTAATGTGTCATTAAAAATCTTGTGAGTTTTTTTTGGTGCCTGATTCATGATTTCTTGGAAGCTCACTGAAGGCAAAGCCAAAGACAAGGCAGAAAACCTAAGCTCCTCCGTTTGTTGGAAAGATTAAATTACCTCTGCATCCATTTGTGCTACAGAAGAATTAGCTGCATCTTTTCCCATCTCTCTGACTTGCCTTTCTCATCCTACCAGGTCTAGGTTACTCCTTCTTCCCTCTTAGCTTCACTTTCAATCTTAGCTTTCACTGGCTTTTCAAGAGACCTAACACAAAGGTCCATTCAGTGCAAAGCATATAGCAGGGCCCTTTGCCAGGAGCAGTTCAAAGTGTTTTGACACTTGTTCATATCCCTTCAGCTTCTGTGTGTTCAATGTGGTTTGTATTAGCACCCCGGAGCAATGTGTGGCTGAAGGAAGCGGGCGGAGGACTGGTTTTTGGGATCCATCCAAGAAGTGTCGTACTCAATCTGGGCTCTTACAACTACTTATCTAACATGGTACATCAGATGGTTTGATCTGCCAATTAGCCTCAGTCAGAGCCGCTAACCGAAAGCAGATGGATCTATACATTATTATATGGAAAAATCTGCCACTTCCCTTTTTCCTGGAGAGTAGAAGAGCTTGGTTGGTGCAACTCCCCCACTCCTCCCCACCTCCCCAGACAGCAGCGTGTCTTGGAGGTGTGGGGCTGAGGATGAACAACTGTGGATGCTCTGATACAAAGGAGCGTGGGAGCACAGGGGAGAAGGTAGAAGTCAGTCGAAGGGTGGTGACCGCCACAGGGGAGGACTGGAAATGTGCTTGAGATGTGCCCTTGACTCGTTGCCTTTCGGACACATGGGAATTGTGCCTTGAGATCCTGTAAAGACAACCCACCAGGCCCCACTCTCCTTCCCCTTCCCTGGGGGCGGCAGGGTCTCTGCCCCCCATCCTGGGCAGAGAGTTCGAACGTCTTGGGCAGACAGAGGAAGGCATCGTGGCCCAATGAAAATGTTGGGAACTTTCTCCTCCGTCCCCGCATCTTCCCGCCTTCCCCCAAACGCACACAGACACGTTTATCAGCTTCAAAAAGAGAGCTGTTGAAATAGCATTAGGGGCCTGATTTAAAGTCACAAAAGCCATGAAATTCAGAGTTAAGGCTAAAAATCCACTTGACATCCTGGCCTTAAGTCATAAAAGGCATGAGTCAAAGGCAGCCTCCGAACGCTCAGTGCCTGAGCTGCAACTCCAGGTTTTCTGGCTTCCGGATGGGGAGGGAGAGTGCAAGTCCGATCCCTTAATGAGATTTAAATGAGCTGATAGGCTAACCTCAAAGATGGAGAGGTGCAGTTTGAATTGGCAGCAAGTTGCTTATCCAAACCCTGTAGTCTGGGAATTGGGCTGGAAAAGCTTTTTCTCTTCTCCCAGGGGGTTCAGAGTATCTGCATCTGCCCCTGCCTTTAGCCAGGCTGTTCTGGGGCACAGGATCCTCCGCAGCTCCGAAATCAGGATGGTCTGTGATGCCCTTACCATCCTGGGGATGTGTCACTAGCAGAGCCCGAGATGGCAGGCAGTGCGCTCTGTTGTGCAGGAGTCCAGACTGGGACGTGGGAGCCCTGGTTCTGCACCGGGTTGCTGATCTGCTGTGGGACCGTCCCCTCCCTGGTCCACCAGTTGTCTTGTCCATTAGGTTGTCACTTTCTGCTCGCTTTTGATGCCCAACCCAATGGTCACCACCTCACCTGGATTCTCTAGATCAGCGGTGGGCAAGGTTTTGCAGTGGCAGGCCAGATCAGCCAGCTCAGGTCTGAAATGGGCTGGTGCATCTGTCCATTGCTGCCTCTCCCTGTTGCCTGGCCATGGCATGAGCAAAGCCCCCCACCCCCAGCTCTGTTGGCTGGATGCAATAGCTCCCTATCTGGCCTATAGACTGTATGTTGCTAATCTCTGCTCTAGATTATCATAATCCCAAATCTTGGGTGCCTTAGTCCTTTGTCAGACTTGAGTAAATCTGAACAAACCACGTCTGTTTTAATGACTTTTTTATTATGGGAGAAGCACAAAACTCTACCAGCATCAGACTCCTACAGGCCTGTGTCACCTGGAACGGGCTGCCCATTACTTTCTGGTGTGTTTGTTCATTCGGATAACCATGCTAGTTGTCTACCTTGCCTGGATGGTTGGATGTGTCCTTCCTGCAGTTCACATATCCATGATGTTTTGCTCGCTTGGGTTTGGTGGAATGGAAAACCTGCAGCCGTGGCTATCTATCTGTGGTTGGTTGAGACAAAATAGTTATTGATGGTTACTGAGTTTGGGGTGCAGGTTTTTGGAGACCTCTTAAGGGCCCACATTATTGTGGCAGAGCTGAGCATCTGAAAGTGCACAGAGCTTTCAACACAAAGCCTTCCAAGCCTCTAGTGGAGGTATCCAAAATGAGTAGCCTGTTAAGGAAAATTTGGGAGCTTAATTTCTTGTCACCCTTGCTAACAGCTGCATTGCGCTATAATGGCATCCACAGGATTGGACCCCACTGATTGCACGCAGTCGGCCTGTGGAGAGCTCCTCACAGCATCGAGCTATAGTGGGGACCCGGAGGACTCAGAAGTCTAGCTGTGTGAAGGCAGAGCCACTTCATCCTGGCAGTGCCCAAAACAGGTATTTTCCAACCAACCTGCAGGGTAGCACTCGGCTCCTGACTCTACAGGCAATGAAATGAGAGCAGCAGGGGGGAGTCCGGTGGGAATTTCTCGCAGGGCATTGAAGCTAAAGGATGGGACACTGTCATTGCACATGTTACTTTCCCTGAAGGCAATAGCCTTAATCCCCTCATTAAAGGTCAGTGATTTAAGTGGCAAATGAAAGAACCAGAGATTAGGATAGTGATGGGCTGGCCTGGGCCTTGAGTTTGGGAATGGGATTGTCAAATTTCTTGGAATGATGACTTCAGGTTAATCATCGCCGTGCAGCACCTGGTGACTTCCAGCTGGTCCCCTTAGTCCTTATGTGAAAACTCCTCCATCCACCCCACTGTTTCTCCGTCTTTGTTGGCTTCAAATAAAAAAAACCCAACATTATCCCATTAGAAGGGAATTTGCAGGACTCACACATTTATGAGACTCCAACATAGGAAAACATTGGAATTGGGACTTCTTCCATGGGAGGGCTGTATCTCTTGAGCTACAGTCATCAGACTATTTCTGCCTCATGGTATAAGTCTGGATGTCTGTTTGGAAGTAAGCTGACGTGTTGCGTTCTGGGTGGAAGAAAATGATATAACACTTGGGACCAAAGTAACCTATGACAATCCCAAGCAAATTGACTACATTGAATAGGGCATTGAAGAAGGGTACCAGCACCCCTGGGTACGCAGTTATGGCCACAAAGAGTATAACCCAAGTGGTGAAGTAGGAAGTTGTCCATAGCGCGATGTACTTGGCTTCATTGTAGTTCTTGGGAAACTCTTTGCCGACGTAGGCAAAACAGAAGCACAGAACGGAGAGGGACATATCTAAGGCAGTGTCCAACATTTCGAGAAACGCATGAGTCTTCTTGCAATCCAGCACCAATATTGCAGGGTTGTCCTCTAAGGGCAACTCGACAGGAGCCGGTGAGCTGATAATAAAGTTGATCATCAGAGTAACAGCTTTCAAAGCTAAAACCACAGCCATGAAAATGTATGGCCCTTTGTACTTGGTCCAGTAGTTATAGGCTTTGGGCAGCTTTGCCATGAGCTTGAAGATGCAGACTATCTGGAGGGACCTGATCACGATGCAGGAGATGCACAGAGTGAAGCAGAAGCTGTACACGGTATGCCGCCACACGCACTTGAACGCTGTTGGGATTCCTACGTACGCAAGGATGATGAGGAAACAAATGACCAGAGATGCCAACATGAGCAAGCACATCCCACCTCCTGCAGACTTCACCACGGGGGTACGCAAATGAAAGGCAAATGTGAGCAGTGTTGCTAGAGTGGTTAAAAGGCCCAACAGTGAGACTATCAATAGCACCACAGCTCTGTGATCGTCCCAGGCCAGATATGTCACAACCTTTGGGTAGCACGCTTGACTTCTGACATTGGACCAGTGGGTGGCAGGACAAGGCTGACAGTTGTAGTGGTCTGTAAAACAAAACCGGACCTTCGTGAGTCAATTGAGGGTGGTTCCTCCTATATATATATGCCTAGTAAAATCTGGTGGGAGTGCTTTTGGATTTGGGCAGTCATACCATCTCAGACTGATATGATAATATCTCGCTAACTAAGTCAGATCTGACCTGCCTGCGGCAGGAATGGGAGACCTCCAAACAACACCCAAAGAAGGGGTATATCGCAGTAACTAAAATGACCTTGTGCCACCTGTGCAGCACCTTGCGCCCCAAGGAGTAGGGCAGGACTGCTTGTGAGATAAGGGATTTGCTTCCTGATGGATAGCTGACCTGATGCTCAGGCTCCTCTTAGGGAGGCACTGCTGTTTTCAGGCCAAGTTTTAAAGCAAATGAGAAGTAAAACACTGCGTGGTTCTCAGCGATCCAAGAGAGGACGAGTGTGGATTTGTAATGAGACTTGAGTCCCAGTGGGGGCTGATGAGATTCTCCCTCCCAAAATCTCCCTAATGTTTCCACTTGGCAGTAATATCTTCTGTGTACGGTTTCTCTGTTGTGCTCCAAATAACGTGGACAGTGACCAAGTTTCCTTGCATGGTTTTGTCTGGGCTGTTTCAGGACGTATGGTGCTTTGCAAACATAATGCCTATATTGTGGGACATCCTCGAATGGGAGCACATTTAAGCAACCAGGATGTTCATTTTGGTAAGGAGGGGAACTATGGCAGGCTTGCCTGTGGTTACGGGAGGAACGTGCGTTAGAAGTCAGGACTTGCAACCCCTCCTCCCCTTCACTAATTACAAAGCATCTGGAATGACGATAATCAGCCTGGCCTTGGGGTTATCTTATCATTCCTACAGTGGCCTTGCCAATGTTGAGGTCCTCTCATGCTGGGCGTTGCACAACCACATTCCCTGTCCCAGCGTCTGCAATCTAAATGAACAAGACTGTTATCCTCACTTTGCAGAGATGGGACCGAGCAGAAGAGAGGTGGCTAAAATCATGCAGGACGTGTGGGGTGGAGCCCAGAACCGAACCTAGTTCGTCCAACTCCTTATCCAGTGCTGCCTTCAAAGATTTATTGCAAAGCCAGAAGACACTATTAGGTCTGATCTCATGCATCACATAAGGCAGAGGTTTCACTGCCTACTACCTGTTCCCAGGGCCAAGAAACGCTTGTTCTGGGCTCCGTCCTCTACCGGGTACCAACGCTGCAGGATGGCACGAAAACAACATGCAATGGAGGCTTGTAAACTGCATTTTGCTTACCGCTCTCATTGAAGTAAGTCCCTGCTTCACAGTCAACACACTCAAAACAGCAGGGATGGAGGCCAATGGGCTTTTTCCGTTGCCCGGGGATGCACTGGTAGGAACAGATGGATACAGGCACCTGGATGTAAAGAAATTTGAGGAAGAGCCTATAACAACGTATAGGAAGAACCTATAACAATGTACAGTTCAGCTGAGAGAGCCTGAAATGACTTCATGACAGTTATTATTATCCATGTTCACTTGGCCACAACATGGAAAGGAAAGGATACACAGCTGGGATAAAGCCAACCAGATCATGTGCTGCCTTGAAAGAGGACACAAAGTGCGATGGCTTGGGCAAAGAGCTCTCGTGATAAATAAATTGCTATTTTCCAATTACCCAGACATGGAGCTCAGGAATGCTGCATTGCCTTTAAATGGAAAGGATGGCCCAGAATAGCCCAAAAGGCATCACGGGGACCTGGATATAAGCTGACCAGCCACTGGGTGTCACTGCTGCATCAGAGAAACCGTGGGACGGACGGTTCTTCTGACGGAGACAATTTTGAATTTTAAAGCAAAGGGGCAAACATTCACACCTCCTTTGCCTACACAAGCAGCAGCCTGGGCCTGCTTCTGTTGCATGTCCCCGGACTGGCACACGTGCCAGAATTGACATACTGTTCATCGGGCACAACCAGCCCGCGTGATGTGAGAATCGGGTGGAGGGCACTTGCCTCATTGCCTGGAGTATGCCAAGAGATGTTGTCCGTGCCGAACAGCAGCTTCTGGTGCTTGGTGCTGTAGTAAGCGATCTTCTTGAACAGGTGGTTGTCTTGGTCCCACCGCCACTGCACAATCACAAAGCTGTTTGGAGGATCGCCGTTCTCATCGAACTGGATCTTGTTGTCGAGCAGAGAGAAATCCACCTGGCGCACCTCCGGCAGCAACTGCGAGTGGAGAAGGCAGAGAAGGGCGATCAGTGCATGCGGAGGACTGCTGGGCACTGGAGCTCGAAGAGCGGCTGAAAGTGTGTTTCTGGTGTCCTTGAGGACTTGCAAGCGCTTGATCTGGACTCGGGAGGGGGGCTCTCCCCTGCAAGCTTGCCCCGGGATCTGAGAGTCATGCTGGGGTTCTCAGCAAAGACTAGGCCACAAGAGTCTCTGACAAAAGTCAGAAGAAAGTCCAGCTTAATTCCCTGGAGCCAGGTTGGCATTGCAGGAGGCTTAAGGTGCAGATCCTAACAACCTGTGCAGCACCTTACGCCCCGCAGAGTAGGGCAGGACTGCTTGTGAGAGGAGGGATGAGTGGTAGATGCTGCCACCCAGCCTTGGGGGAATGGACCTGACTCTCCAAGGGCGGTGGAGCAGGTCTGTTGAGCGAGACAATGCCATTTGGGTGGCTGCTTAGCTGAGATGAGACCCGGGAACTACAGGAAGGGCTGTTGACACGCTTGGTGGGTGGTTCTCTGAGTTCAAACCAATCCAGCCCCCCAAGCTCCTCGTGTCTGTGGAAATAAACCCTCTTCTCATAATGATGGTATCACAAAGCTACAGCCAGACTGATGGAAGCGATGCATGCACCTGCATGGAGATGGCTCTAATGCGGCCAGGTCTCTCCGCCGGTGGGAGGGTCTGCTGTAGGCCTGTGAAAGCTCGTTAGTGTCTGCACATGGCTTATTTAACCTAACACGGAGGCATCCTGCATCTGCCCCTGCTGCCCAAGGAGACTATTTCTAGAACGGCCATGCTGTGTGTGAGGCCCTGGGAGCAAGTCCTTTGATTTCTCTCATACAGACCACCAAGTTGCCATTGGAGATGGTTTCTAGCCACTGGGGCTGGATTAGACCTGTAGGTTAAACCCTCTACAGTCCTCTCCCAGTCCTTTGAACCAGCTCGTCATTAAAGCAAGGCCCTCAACACAACACCCACCTGCCAGGGGTACACCGCCCGCTTGTGACATCCCGCGGAGCTGCAGCGCAGGAGCCGGTGCAAAGCGTGAGCAATGACGTAGACCGCGGAGTAGACGTTGAAGTCTATGCGCTCCCCGGAGTCCCTCAGCTCCTTCTCTTTTTGCTTGGCCGCTGACAAGCACCGGTCACATACTTGGTTGCATGTTCCTGGGTCACTTGCCCATGTTCCAGCTCCTTCGGTCTGGTTGGAAGGAGCCTTGACCCTGAAGGTATTGAAACCAGGGATGGGGACCTCTCTGACTGCCACCCCCAAGAAGGTGCCCAACCTACTGATGTTGGTAATGCTATGCAAACTGGGATCGGTGGCCCAGGCTTCGGTGCCAATCCACACCAAGTCTGTAATGTTCTGGCGGATGGCCTCCTGGAAGAAGAACGGGAGCGTCAAGTCCAAGGTCAGAACAAGGACCACCTTGGCAGTGCTCTGGTGGAGCATGTTAATAATGTCCTGGACCTTCGCTTGCTGCTCTAGCGACAGCTTCTTGCTCTCACGGGGCACCGGGATGCTCTCCTGAAACGCTATACAGACCCCCGTAGCCCAGAACTGCAAGAGCTTCAGATTCTCCTGCCCATAATCATCGTCGCCGAACAGCACAATGACCCAGTTCCAGTGAAAATGCTTCAG